GTCTGCCTCTCAACTGTAGGGTCGTGAGTTCGAATCTGGTCAGGGGCTTGATGTTGTGTCCCTGTACGGTTCTCTTCTAGTCAGTGAGGCTGGGCGCGCACAGGGCAACTTTAGTTGCACTACTGTTTTCTCGCACAAATATATCGATGAAATAGATAGGCACCGCGCGCACAGGCAACTCGGGTTTTAGGAAACTGAAAAGTTGGTGTTTTGTCACAACTTTCCGGCAACGCAACTGTTGCTCCAATCTCCTGTGTTATATACCAACTTGACACACAGCGCGTACAGGCGACCAAACTGTCTCCGGACTCGACAAAGCCCCGCCACTCCCCACGTGTTGTCACTCAGCACAACAGACTTGACAGAGGTACACACAATACATTGTTTCACTTCCTCAAAAAAAGAAAAAGGATAGCGATCCAACTTGGATGAACATTTTTTTTTTTTCTATCGTAGCAAAGAAGCCTGTCCTCTACAACAAGACCTCAGATGAGTACATGTAGGCTGACAGAGATAAGAAAGTTTGACAAAATGCCCTTGTAAGAAATTTCTGACTGGTCAAAGGTTGAACCCAAAACCGCTTTTTCCTTCTTCTATTTTCTTAAGTGCAATCACAAAAGCTCAGATAACAACTCCGTCGTGGAAGTCCATGACGTCGAATGAGGAAGTCAGTTATGATGATAGCCTACTGTTGCCTGGCTGTTGCCTAGCTCTGTGTGTGCGGTGTAGAAAATTTATTGCCTGGAGACAGCAACTGTTGCGCAACTAAATATGCTCTGTGTGCGCGGTGTAGAAAATAAGTTGCTTGGAGACAGCAACTGTTGAGCAGCTAAAATTGCCCTGTGCGCGCCTAGCGTTACTCGGCAGTGATCCTGTCAGTCCTGGTGATAACAAGCAGTAGTAGCTTGGTCACCTTCGAATGTCCTTGGTTTGTTTTAGTTTTAGTAAGTGTTTCACGGCACTTGCAACGCAATAAGGTCTTATAAGTGCCGAAGACTAGAGGTGTTACAAGAGAGTAACATACACAAAAAAAGAAGGAGGAGAGATAAGGACGATAGATTTTTTATAGGAAAGAAGGAGTAAACCACACCAGAGCACTCGCCAACCACCCACTGTCCTTGGTTAAAACGAGATAGAAACAAATCTTTCTGCTTAATCTTCTCAGGTTGAATGATGAACAAAATCTCAACGCTCATTATTGAAGGTCAATGCAAATTGGGGTTCCGAATGTTTTCTTTGATATTAGCCTAAAGCAGGTAAAGAAAATGAAAGTCTTTTTTTGCAGCCGGCAATAACTTTGACTTCTGTCAAGACATTCAAAGTTTGCTCTGTG